AGAAGGAGACCAGAAATAGCATGGGAAATGGAAAACAAAGTGTTGTGAAGGAAAAAAGAAATAGTGGGTTGCAACAACAGGAGAGCTATTGGAATAAAAGAAGGTTCATAAAGACATATGTATTTATGGAAGTACTTAATAACAGAGTTCCTTCTGGGGCCAATCTCTGTTAAGTATTTCCATAAATGCATTTGAGGAAAGATTTTTTATTTTTATTTTTACATTTTGCCTTCAGTGTTTTCTTAAGTAAAAGTTGGGATTGTAGAATCATTAACAGAAAAATAAGTGTCATTAATGAGGAAAAGGAAAAAGGATATCTCTGATAACGGAAGTAATGCCTGTGTAACTAAATTCAGTACTTCAAATTACACCTATTTGTAAGTAATCACATCACACCTAACAAGGACTACACTTAGGTATCAAAAAAAAAAGTGTGAAGTAACTTGAAAAACTAGTTTATTTATAAGTCAATCACATATTATGGAAAATCAAAGTAATGCTGCTTCTCAAACACCCCTGCACAGGACAACCTACACTAAACATATTTCAGCCACTGGATGAAAACCTACGTCGCTCCTGACTATATGTGTCTTAATCTTCAACGGGATCCCATCCCAGAGCTCACAAAGGAAACTATGTTTAGAGCAACACGTTCACAAAACAACTAATTTAGATTAACTGGCAATGATAGCACAAGGACTAGTATCGGGCAAAGCTTGAATTCAGGGTGTTCCTGCCCGGGGAAGGTTGTACATGTGACTCCACCAAGACCAGGACGGAACACAAGGCACTTAGTCTGCAGCTGAGACCAAGTAAGGATGCTAAGAGCACAAGTTATGTTTGTGCTGGTTTACATAATGGTTGGTTTACATAATTTACGAGGACTCATCTTAATTCACTAGTCCTAAAATACCTGCGCTTGGCAGCCTTTCTACGCTTTAGCACGGAAGATGAAAGACCTTAAAGAGATCGGCATGGTCCCGCGTCCCCTAGGGCCCCACAAGGCCCCCTCCGGCACAGCCGGGCCCCGGCCGAGGGGGCAGGACGACCCCCGGCCATTACGGAGGGCGGCCCAAGAGCTCCTTCCGCCGCGCCTGTGGGAGGCTGACGGCGCCCCCAGCCCAGGGGGCAGCTCAGCCCGCGGCGGGTCTCACTCCCGCATCGATTCCCAGGGGGAAAGCAGGAGCAGGAAGAGGGCTGCTCCTTCTCCTCCTCACTCGGCTCCTTCCTTCCTTCCTGCCCGCCCCGGCTCCACTCACCACCTCCTCTCACGCTCCCGCCGTCGGGGCCCGCGCGCACCGCCCCCTCCAGCCCGCGCATGCGCCGCAGCGACCGCGGGTCCGCCTGGGGCGGTGCAGCAAAGGGCGGACGGGGCGGGACGGGTGTGAGGGGAGTGTGCTGCTTATCCTACTGGGCCATCCCGCGGGGTACCGTGTCTTATCCCGCAGGGAGAGCCGGGAGGGGAGTCGTCTGGGCGCCCTAGGGCTGGGGCAGGGTCTTCTCCTACAGGGAGAGCCGTGAGGGGAGTCCGCTGGTCCCGGACTGCCCCACCCCGCCCGGGAGCTCCAGGGTAGAGAAGCTGTAGTATTATGAATTCTGTCCACTTCTTAATTTGAAACAAAAGGTGTGTTTCAAAGTGTCGTATCAAGGCATATGCTTCCCAACAGAGTGAAATACTTTTTTCCTAGCTCTTGAAACCATGGAATCTCTTGGGGCAGATTGCTCTGCATACAGATAGGCCATGTGTCAGAAACAAAACCAAATATACTAACTGAAAGAAATCTCAGTAAGTCCACATTTGTATAACCCATGTTGGAGCTGAAATGAAATACTTTGGGAGCAGTTCCTAGTGATGTTCAGAATTTGCATCTTCTATGCATTACTACTGAGAAAATCTGAAAGTTGGCTTTGAGTTGAGCAAGAATCCTAAAATGAGAGGTCAGTCTTAAACATGTAGTTTTCGCTTCAGTGATTCTGTTGGAGAATTGATGGTTCAGGCTGCAGTTCCTCCCAAGATCAGTTCAACACAACATAAATCCATATTACCTGACAGGGGGGAGTCTCACTCTCCCTGTTGCATCCCCACTTCCACTCATTTTCTGGTCCTAGGATTTGGGTGGTTACAGAGAGCTTGTTGAGGGAACCAGTCCAGCTGAAATCAAACCAAAAGAAAGCTACTTCAGTAACTGCAGCCTTGCTTCCAAAAGCCTGCTTATTAACTGAGTGGGATCACCACTTTCTCATTTAGTTTCTAGTCTGGAATTCAAACAAAATACCCAGTAATAATTCTGTTTATTAAGCCAAAATGACACCATTATTATCATGAGGTAAAACTAAAAAAAAAAAGAAAAAATTGTTTCTGTATAGCTTTAATAATCTAAATTATTAAGAATATTGTTATTGATTTAAATGGTGGAACTATAAAACTATGTTTTCATAGAACCGACCTGAAGTAAGTAACACAAAGTTCTGTACTCTTAAATCTGCAAATGCAAAACTATTACAAAAGACTGCTGAACAGTTCTGCCAGTCACTCAGGCCTATTCCTACAGAAAGTCTCTGCTTCCCAGTAAAACCGCTTAAACTTAGTAAGTGTGACTTTTTATTTTCATTCAAGAGGCCAAAACTGGTTAGGAGCAGTTGCTAGAATAGGATTCATGCCTAAGTATGTAGCTGGTTATGTGTAGCGTAATAAATTTTAGTTTATATCTTTCATTGACCACAATTTTCATTGATATTGTTACTCAATATGCATTTATGCAGAGCTTTAAGTTGTTTCTTAATTTATATTAAGCTGTCACATGCCTTTTTATCTTATTCTGACTGTGAGTTGCTCAGATACCAAATATATTCAAAATAAGAAAGCAAATAATAAACTGAGGTTTGAAACCTGCATATAACAGAGCAGGAGATAGTCCTTTCTCACTGTGTTTATGGTCAGATATTTTGTATTAATACTTTTTTGTCTGTGAAACTTATTTTCAGTACAGGTAGTGAATAATTTTCATATAAGTTTTCTTATCTGTAGTTCCAGTTCACCAACAAACTTAAATATAAAATATGTGGCCATTTCGTTCAAATCACTGGGATTCCTCATTTCTTAAATTTATGTATTTAAGTGAATTACAGGATTATGTTCTTTAATTTGTATTTGTAGTTCTATATATATAAGGATAGAACACGCACGTATTTATCTAGATTCTGTATGTATGTAGAACTATACACAATATGTATATACAATATGTGCAGTATTTTTTTTATTTCTCTTGGTCTTTTCAAGATACATTTTACCAGTGATGCCATTGTGCAGCATGCTATTGAGGCTGCACCTGTGTTATTTTTTAGCAGTCTCTTCCTATTCCAAAAAGTCAATTCCAGCTGACAGAGGTGCAGAAAAGGGCTCTGACAAAGAGCAGGAAGAAATTATTGCTCTTGAAAGATGTTCTCTTGAAAGCATCACTGAGGTCGTTTAAGAAACGACTGCCACCACATTTCCGGCCTTCTTGGATGATACAGCTCTTTCAGCAGAGCAAGTGGAAAGGATAGTGTCATTACCTACCTTTACACAAGTCATCCTTTTAACTTAAATTCCCAGGTAAGGATTATTTAAAATATACACTGGATGATTTTTCTTCCAAGTGGATGGAAAGATCTCAAGAAGTTATTGTGCACACAGTGGTAGAGATACAAACCCTAAATAATGAAAGAGGAAAGATACCTGCAGTAACTTTTAAAATGGTTTCAGCTTCACCTGCTAATGGCTATCCGACACATCCTAAATAAGGATGGGATTTGAGCTTTGCTGAAGAACAGACACCAAGATGTTTTACTAAATGCCAGTGTTGTAACAGAGCAAATAAATATTTTAGGTACAATACTGCAATAAGGAGGAACACAAACTTTAGTAAAATACACTAAAAAAGCAAACTCCATGTTTATCCAGATGGAACCCGGCCATTCCAATTGGTATTGGTTGGCAAGTTTGTTCGTTAAAATAATGCATAATTAAATAAGTAGTAAAAGAACATTTGAAGGGCAAAAGAGTGCTGGACTAGATAACTTTGGTTTGTCTGAAGTACACCTACTGTGCTGCAGGCTGTTCTGGGGAAAGTAGCTCTATGCACCAGCTGTAGAAAGGTGGTCAAATGGGTGATGAAGCAGTTTGAACACATTTTAAATGCCCATCAGAAGCCTAACAATTATTACTTAATGTCAGTTGAAGTCATATAGAGGTATATAAATCGCTGTGCCAGCCCACATTGCACTTGTAACTGCAAAAAGTTATTTGGTGCCTTCAGGGTATCAGCCTCCCTCCTCATTCTCCTGATATCGAAATGAGGAAGTTTGGGGTAGTTCGGCTGTGTAGAGGCAGATTTGGATGAAAGGACTCTGAGTTACATCCGGAGGAATAGCCCCTGGAGACAATTCTGTGGGCTGTGGATTGCAGAAATGCAATACATTCCCTTCACATCTTTTGCTGTCTCCTAGTCAGCCCCTGTGTCAGTGCTAAGGGTGACCTGGTACTGCTTGCAGCCAGCAGATGTTCTTTTCCACTGGCACTTCACAGTAGAATCAGAAACTGAGGATCTGATCCATAACTTCTCATTACGTTTGCTAAAGATAGACAAAGATGAATGTTTAACAATCTAATCGTTAGTGATTATAATCACCAACAGTGGATTTTCAAGGAATTAGTAGTAATTAAGCTCTCATTTATAACTCATTAATGTGAAAAACAGTATTTCTATGGATTAAATACTCCCATAGTATCTAATGCAGAGAATTTGCAGACAGAAATATATGATGAACCATCCAGAGTTTGAGATCTCCAAATGAGATTTGATAAAAATATCACCATAGGCAATTACTGCTGAATTTCAGCTGGTTGCTCAGACAAATCTGTTGCACAGTATCAGAACAGTTTACTTAGAATTTAGGCCTCAAGGGAAGCAATCTGTTAAAGGTGAGGGATAGAAAATATCTTTCCTCAAGCTGCCAACAAACAATGTCAATTCATACTGGAGACATCTTAATTTTTAGTTACATTTCCATTAATTCTAGGCACTGTTTATTTTCCAAATTATTTTTCTGGGAAAATTATGTCCTACCACCAACATCCTCAGTTAAATCAGTATATTAACTACTATGCTTATTTCTCTAAGAAGGTATGTAGAAGATTGCAGTAACATATGTATTCTCACAGCGAACATTTTACCAAGAGTGTATCATTTTTGCAAAAAAAACTGCTGAGTTTTGATAAGTTATTTGATATTCTTTATAGATCAGGAGGCCAAGGGAGATGAATTTCACTAGAGATACATAAGGAAAACCTTTTATTTATCATTATATATTCAGATTATGAAAGTCATACCAAAGTGATGCCATTTCTAGCTGAAGTTAGTTCTATCTGGAAATTCTTGGTTTACTTCCTTAAATGCCTGAACATAGACTGAATTGATTAGGCATCTGAGTTTGGACTTAATGAATTTCTTTAACTGGCATTTGTGTCTGCATTGTAAAAAATGAACTTCTGTTTTTGAGACTGCATCTAACCTGTTAGTGACTTACCATTCCTCTTTCAGAATTCAGTAAAAAGCAAAGGTTTTGTGGCATGCTTGATGTACCCATAAAAATGGGATGATGCAACCAGTCATTGTGATGCAACTTAGCTCACATCACTGTTTCCTGGAACATGAAAAATGCCAGAGTGATGTGTTATGTACAAAGGCAGAGTTTTTAAGATGTTTGATGGGGTCCTGTGCTGAGCCAAAGCATTACCCTACAGCCAGCCAACGCACTTTTTAACAGTGAAAACTTAATTTTCAGTTGTAGACCAGTATTTTAATTCTCCCTGTCATGCAGCCCAATGTAACACTGTCTCAGGTGTTAATCAAAGGCAATTATTATGCTATCTGTATTTATACTATGAGCATATGAGTATACACACGTATGTGAGCGTGTATGCACATGCTTATGAGTTAGGAGTTGTTCTGCCCATTAATGCTTGTGATAGTGCGGAGTATTAGAATAGGACACTGGCACTTCTACAAAAGATGTTTGGTAAAAGTGTTTTACTTCAGAAAGGACTTGCCAGTCTGTCACTTCTAAGCTGTGCCATGGAAAAAGATGTGGCTATTCAGTGCAGTGACAGCAGGGTAAGGCACCTCAATGATGAAGAAATTAGCCTGAACTAAACATGCAGATCCAGGTTGGGAGAGTAGCTAATGACTAATGTTGCTATATATACATTTCTAATATGCAAAATCTGTAATCCAGACTTCTCCTGGGTCATCTGAACCAAACCCGTGGCATCTGATCTTTACTACTCCAATCCAGATACGTGCAACTGTGCTGGGGTGAGGTTAGGGCTCATTGTCTGAATTGCATGATTTTAACCAGGGTACCCCCATGGGCCATGTACATAGGCACTTTTTAGAGACCCCTTTGTAGGAGGTCAATAACTAATCGATCCCAATTGGGGGGTAGAAACTGGAATCTTTACTGAATACACACTTCGCAATATAAGGGTCTTGGGGGCAGGACATGTTAACAAAGAGGACGGGTTATGCTAATTAGGGGATGGATTATGCTAACTAGAGGATTACACAATTTTCTGCTACAGTTACAGAAGTGGTTAATATTTTCCCTTAGCTAGGACCACATGAGGGTAAGAGAACAAAGGGATTTCTACATGGTCTGATAACATCATCACAAAGTCTTTCCATATCTTGCTAAAAGAGACAGGACAATGAACATAGCTAAACATTAATAGGTCTTGTGATAAAGTGTCCAGTCCTCAGGTGATGGGATTTCTCTCAGCCCCTATTGCCCAAGGCCTGCTGCTCAACCCCATCAAACTCCTTCCTGCTGACGGCTGAGTTTTGGTCTTTACACCCCTTAATTCCTTTAATAATTCCATCATTAATTCTATGTAACTGCATTCCCTCAGTTGTAGGCTTATACAGGAGCTTTCTAGATTCCAGTGTGAATTGAAGTAAACCTGAACTTGTTTTCACCTATATTAAACTCCCTGGAGTGCCAAGAAGGAAATCACACTGCATTTATCTTTGCCCATATCCTGAGGTACCTTGAACAGAGCCTGCTGACAGCCTTGGCTTACAGCTTTACCCCATTTACAGAGTCTCCTGTGCTGGGACATGACGTCCTAGAAACTTTAAAGTGTTTTTTTATCTCTCATGAAATTGCCTGTGATGCAGGACTCACATTCTGAGGGAGCATAATCTGTTGGGAGAGTTCTGCTTTCCTTAAATTGAACATATAACTCCTGAAACATTCATTGAGAGATGATTTTCTTTCATGTAAGTTTGGTATTATTTTGAAAGCGGTTGAGTGGGTTGCTGTTTTGTAATCACAGCAATATTATTCTCGTGGGATTTATTTTTTGCTATCTTCCAGTAAATTATAAGAGATAGACCCCAACACTTTTTTGTCAGTGTAGAATTGAACATTAATTTAATATTTAAAAGGAAAATCAATGAAATATTGAGTCTGCAAGAGAAAGCATCAACTGAGTCATCACATTTGTGGACTAAACTTTAAAAACACATTTTTAATCTAGAAAAGTTAAAAAAAGCAGCTAAATTTTGCCCTGGTCAGATAGACTACTGACTGAGACTAATAAGAAATCCTATCTACTTCTCAGCTTGAACTTTTCCTTCAGCTTATTTTCCACGACCATGTAGCTGTCCCAGTCTTATGCCAACCTCTCAGCAAAATAAATTTGGCATTTAGATAAGTGCAGAGGAGAAAAAATTCACGCTAACAATTTTTAATGTTCCTAATTAATTATTGATTAGTGCTAATGACAGTAGCAAAAAAATTGATTTGCTGTTTGCACTGAGCTGAAATAATTTACTTGTAAAATGAAAGCAATTAACCAATAAGACTAACAGTGATAATGTATTAATCTCCCATTTCTAATTCACTATATCAATGAAAAGGTATCTGTTTGTTAAATGATAAGCAAAGGAAAGCAAGATAGTTTTAGGTGGTAGATCTTCCATTGCATTTATCACCACTGTGTTGTGGTTTCTTTCAACTACAATAAAAAATAGATGATTTGGAGAGAAAAGTTGTACAAACCTTGGTAGATACAGTATTTTTTCTTACAATACCTTTGGGTAGCAATAAATGACCATGTAGGACTGACCTCTTTCTTCTTCATGTCTTTCAGCTACTTTGTCAATATTTATAACAACTGTAGTTTTTCTGAAAGCATTCTAGCACTTAACCTACCCAACCTATACTCAGCTTTTATCTATAGAAAAATCTGCTCTGCCTTTGACAATTTCTGCACTGAGAAATATTTTCTCTTCTCTTTACTTACTAGTATGGTCTGGTAGTCAGACCATCTGGGGTAGAGTGGCCATGAAACGATAGAATTTTCGGTACTTGGTGAAACAAGGAGAGGCACCAACAAAACCTCTACCCTGGACTTTTGGAGGGCAGACTTCAGCCTACTCAAGATGCTGATTTGGAGAGTACCTTGGGAAACAGCCCTTAAAAACAAAGAGGTCCAGGAAGGATTGACATAATTCCAGAAGGACATCTTGACAGCACAGGAACAGGCTGTCTCTATGTGCCAAAAGAAGAGCCAGGAGGGAAGGCAACCAGCATGGATGGGCAGAGAGCTTTTGCAGGAACTCAGGGGGAAAAAAGAGGGGGTTTCACCTTTGGAAAAATGAGCAGGCAACTCAGGAAGTGTTTAAGGATGTCCTTAGGTCATGCAGAAACAAAATTAGAAAGGAGAAAGCTGAATTAGAATTTATTCTGGCCACTTCTGTAAAGGATAATAAAAAGTGGTTTTATAAATACATTAATAGCAAAAGGAGGGGCAAGGAAAACCTCCATTCTTTGTTGGATGTGGAGGGGAATAGAGTTACCAAAGATGAGGAAAAGGCTGAGGTACTTTACGCATTCTTTGTATCAGTTTTCAAAAGTAAGACAAGTCGTCCTCAGGACAACTGGCCTCCTGAGCTGGCAGACAGGGACAGGGAGAAGAATAAGCCCCCTGTAGCCCAGGAGAAAGCAGTTAGTGACCCGCTGAGCCACTTAGATGCTCAGAAGTCTATGGGACCAGATGGGATCTGTCTTAGGGTGATGAGGGAGTTGGCGGAAGAGCTTGTTGAGCCACTCTCTGTCATTCTTATCGGTCCTGGCTGACCAGGAAGGTCTCAGATGACTGGAGGTTGGCCAATGTGACACCCATCCAGAAGAAGGGGTGGAAGGAGGATCCAGGGAACTACAGGCCTCTTAGCCTAATCTTAGTGCCTGATATGGTTTGAAGCTGGCTCTCTGCCAAGTCTCCAAACCTTACCACAAGAAGCCCCCCCCCCAAACCTCAGGGAGAAGAGGGGAAAAAAAAACAAGAAAAAATGAAACGAGAGAGAGACAGCTAAAGCAATATATATAAATATATTTACACTTATATTACAGTTATATACAATTGAAATGTATATACAATTTCCCAAGGAAAATGGAAAGGGAAGGGGGAAGGGAAAAAGGAACAAAACCAAAATAAAATATATATATATACCGATCAATAGCTCAAGATCTAGCAACTAAAAGAATTAGCAAAGAATATCTTACTACTCTCCTTGGGACAACGGAGAGTCACGCTGGAGCAACTGCCGGCAACCTTCGTCTCCCAAGGTCAGCAAGGCCTTACCAGGCCTTACCAGGCCTCGCTCCCCAACACGACAGACTCAACAGCAGGGAACCTGCACCTCCAAGCCGCCGGAAGGAAAGAGAGCGAAGGCCTCTCCTCCTTTCTTCTTACACCCTGGCTTACGTAAAAATCGTAAGGAATACCGGGTAAATCTGGGCACTTCCTTGGTTACAAACTGGTCACCAAGGAAGGCCTAGGCCAAATTACCACAGTGCCTGTTAAGGTTATGGAACAGATCATCATGAGTGCACACACACGGCACATACAGGACAACCAAGGGATCACGCCCTTCACATAAAAAGTGATTGGGCATTGGAATGGTCTGTCCAGGGAGGTGGTGGACTCACTATTCCTGGAGGTGTTTAAGAAAAGACTGGATGTGGCACTTAGTGCCATGGTCTGGTTCACAGGATGGTGTTATCATAGGTTGGACTCAATGATCTCAGAGGTCTTTCCCAGCCTAGTTGATTCTGTGATTCTGTGATACCCTCTGCTTGTGACATGCAAACAGTATTTTTGCTTGTTATTCTTTTAATAGTCAAAACTGAGTATTTAAAAATCAGTCCTGAAACCACATGCCGTATTTCACTGACACCACATAGTGAACATCATATTCCACCTTCAAGCTTCTGTTTTGTATTCCCCATCTGTAGGTCCAGCAGTTGTTGGCCCCCTTAATTTACCTCTTTGTGCAAGAAGTTTGTGATAAACAGGCTATTTATTGGACCATATAGATGACAAGTGTATTTGCCCTTTTCAGATTAAGTGAAAGTGGCTCATCTACCTGTGTCAAAATTACTAAGTTATAAGTGAGGGTGATTCAGTCTGTCAGCACCCCTTGATGTAAAACAGACTTTGCCCAACTACTGAGACTACTGTTTTGATGATTCTCCTCCATCATCCCCCAGGATCTTTGTATAATATTATTTTATTCCTAGGTATGATCACATACTTCACAGTTATGACCTATATATTCTGTTCTGATATGTACGTATGAGATTGCAGTTTAAAAAACTAGAAACACATAGACTGGAGACAGATCAGGTTGATCACCAGAATAAACCACAATCACAGTGTAGCAGAAATCAAATTACTGGGGTTTCTTCTTTTCCTTGGTATATATCATAACAAAAGGCAGTGTTAAGGAAGGGACTGGAAAGAGAGAGCTCTGCTGGTATTTAAGAAGATGTATAAAAATGTTTTTAAGTGCAGGTGGTGTTGATTGGAAGGACAATGTCGGTTGAGACCATGAGCTGATCAGACATGCAGGCAACATTTCCCGTTAGAGTGAGATGTCGTGTGGTGATGGGTTATAGATGCAAAAGTCCTGTGCTGAATGAGACATCATTTCAGAACAAAGAGTTCCATGATGGTGCTTGGATTACAAGTGACCAGGAGGATGGAGATGTTGCCCACAGGAAGTCAAGGAAGAGTGTTCAGGCAGGCTAAGAACTCTGGATTAGACCCTTTTAGCTCAGCATGACTCAGAGGACTGATGTGAGAGAGAGGCTGTGATTTTTACTTTTGTACAAAAGAGGACTGACTTAGTGTTGCTGAGCTAGAATAGAGGTCGGAGCCAAATCTGTATTCAGTAGCAAAGATGAGAAGATTTAAAAGAAAAAAAGTTCTGCTGATGCTCTATCAAGAAGAATTCTCGCAACTGTGAGCAAAAA